TGCTATTTCAGATTTTCAATACACTCCATTCTGTGTGATTTATAAGCGTTTTGAAAAGTGGGGACATGGGGTAATGTCCTGAAAAGTCACCTTCTCCTTTTAATACCTATGTTATACCTTTGTCATTATACAAATTTATGTCCTCATTTGTCACAAAAATGCGCACACACACACACACACACACACACACACACACACATACACACATGCGCACACACACACCAGTCCACTGGTTAGTCATTGCTGAATAACTAATCCAAAACAAACCCATGCACCTTAACCAACAGATCACCTCAGTGGTCAGAGCTTTTCTTTCCACCTCTGTTTCTCAAGGGAACTTCACAAGAAGGTGAAGCATGAAACCTATTGTGTAACTTAAAGAGACAGTTCATTCGTAAATGAATGTGATGTATTTATGAGTGAAACTGGATATATGATATGAACATTGAAAATGAGTCACTTTTGACGAGGGTTTTGAGCAGAACGTGGAGGCTGAAGGTCAAGGTCAGTCTTTACAGGCCAACGTTTTATTAATACTTTAGAAAGGCTGCATAATTTACAACATAAAATGATGATTAAATAACTTGATGAACGTGATGTCCACCAAAAAGAGTAGAAAATATCAGGAAATTGGATTTTGATGAAAGACATTTTATGTATTTTATGTATGTATTAGATGTATTTGTATTATTTTGTATTATTATTATTATTTTTTGTATTTTATGTATTAGACATTTTACGAAACTTTTTTTTTTGTAAGTGTGACCTGCCGATATAAATTTTGGCCGATTCTGATTTCCTTTCTAAGATCTATAATTGAAAGCATCACAATTCCACAGATGTTCTCTCATTTAAACAACTCTAAAAAATAAAGTGCTCTGTGACTGGAAAGAAGTAGAAATGAGTTGCTGTATAACAGAATAATCTCCCACTTTGTTTATAATTTTTTTCCCCTAACCTTATTAAATGTAATCTTTCACATCGAGTTCTTACATTGTTTCAATGAATTAAGTTAGAATTATAAAAAAAAATGTAGAGTTGTCGCCATTCAAATGAAATCAGCATCAACAAACATCAAAGAAGCTGCATCTGAAGTGTCATTATAGATGTATTTACAGACTGTTTGATGAAGCTGAGGTGCCATGTATGTATTTACACCGCAAAATTGCAAATGCATGAGTAACGTTATAAGATTAATTTTTTGAACGTACAAATAAGAAATGTTGGGAAAAATGCAATGATCAATCAATCAATAATTTTATTTCGGTCCTCACAGACAACTTTTCACAAAATAAATAAACCCGGACAAAGGTGTAGGCTGAAGCCTTGCTTATTATGCCTACCCTTTATACACAGTTAACTGATGAGCGACACTTTTCACTAAGAAATGCAAGATAAACATGTTACATAAACATTACCCCAAATGTACATACATAATTCAAAACAAGCATAACAAAAATACACATTACGACTATTACTTCAATATTGTAACAATACATTCACAATTATTGATACTGATTCATATAATTATTTATCACCTTATTATATGACTCAGTATCAATAATGATGATACTGATACTTGATACTTTAGGTGGAGGCAAATGAGTGAATCATTTAGTCATTCATTCAACCGATTCGTTCAAGTCGCTGATTCATTCAGAAACGAGGCGAGTGAATCGTTATGAATGACTCACTGAATCATTGACTCACTCGATTCGTTCAAAAACGTGGATTCATGGAGACACACAACAGTTCTGCTGTCACTTAATTTTAACTTATTTTTTAATTTTTTTAAAATCGGTGTCACATTGCAATCGTGCTGATATTCGGGGAAACATCTTGGTCGTGTAATGTTGCGTACCTATATCATATAATATATAAATCTCATTTTTTTCTATCACAGTATGCATCTATAACTTTCTGTGTGTGCTGTTGCGCTCATGTGTTCTGATTTCGGCACGAGTCTGTCTCTCACACTCAGGCTGCGCGAGGTTTGACGTTTTAATGAATAACGTTTTCATTATTTAATGGGATGTTAGCAAACGTTTTTAGAATATTTTTGTTAGCTGGGTTAATTCATGGAAACGGAACTGAACTGAAGCGGCTACAGCGATCCGTCATATCACATCAAAGAACAACAAAGCCACATTTATTTGTATTTTGTGTAAAAAAAAAAATAGACAGAATTTGCAAGCTGAGACTTTCTTTTATATTTACAGTAGCAGAGCACAAGCTTATTGCATTTGTAATGTTTAGTGAAGTTTTGCTCATGCATCAACATGCCCAGGTAACAAAATTAGGTGATTTTAAGCTTGTTTTAACATGTTTCTAAAACAATGAAATGTCCAGTTTTCTTGTCATGCGTTTATAGTGTTATTTAAAGGTTACAAAAATACTTTTAACATTCTACTAACTACTATAACATGATTTGAATGTTTATTTTCTTAACATTCTAAAAACGTTTAAAATGTCTGTTTTTCTTGTGATTGTAACATTATTTAAAGGCTGCGAAAACGTTTCTTACAGCATTCTATTAACTTTATTTTCAAGCGAAATATAACGTTAATCTGAATGTTTATTTTTAATATTCTAAGAACGTTAAAATGTCCAGCTGTCCTGTTGTGAATATAATGTTATTTAAAGGTTACAAAAACATTTCTCAGAATGTTCATCATCACGTACAAATAAAATCATAAGGACGTTTTGGGAATGTTGTCTTAAGAGCGTTTTCTCTCAATGTTATTATGAGAGTGTATTTCAAATTTTAATAAAGTTATAAGAACGTTCCATAAGCATTACTTTAAGAACGCTTTGTCCTAACATTATATATATATATAACTGTTAAAAAATGTCAGTGAAAGTTGTGTGAATGGTCTCTGTTAGCTGTTGGCAACATTTCTAAATTTCAAATCAATAATTTTCTGTGCACTGATGAATCGATAACAATAAGACCAGTAACTAAATTTCAGACCATTGCAGCTGGACGAGTCTTTATTTATACACAGCGGCTCCCCAAAATCAAAGTGCTCGTCTATTATTCTCTCTCGTTTTTTAATCTCCTTCCTCAATTCATTGGCGCTCAGGACCATGAAAACAGAAAAGAGTTTAGCTGAAGCTTTTGTGATGCTGTTGCATAAAGGCTCATTAAATATGAATGGAAAACAAGCCTCTGTCTTTAGTGCTCATAAAATTTACAAATGCAAAAATATGCACTGTCATTTTTATATACGTGAGAATTAGAGCAGCAAGAGACATAATTTGAGCTGAACGTTGAACGTGAAGGAATGTTAGATCTATTTGTTTTAATTTATTTACCTTGTTATATTTGAAATATTTTTTTATATGTTAAATTACTTATTTATGCATGCATATATGTATGTTTGTATGAATTAATTTCTTTATTCACATTTTATTTCTTGTAACTTTCCTTTTTATGTATGTATGTAAGTTTTCACATTTTATTTCTAATATTTTTTTATTTTATTTACATACATATTTATTTATTTATAATATTTTTTATATTGGGTAAAGTTAGTTTATTTATGTATTTATATTTGTATATATTTATTTATTTATTTACAAATATTTTATTTCTAATAACATTTTATTTTTTTAAATTTTTTTATTTAGTAATATGTTTATTTATTTACTTGTTTACTTATATTTATATGTTTATTTGTTCACTTTTACATTCATTCGTTCATTTACTTTTTATTTCTGATATTTTTTTAATTTGGGAAAGTAAGTTTGTTTGTTTCTAAATTAAATTTTTTTTAATTTATGGATTTTTGCAGAAAATGTTATCCAACGTGACTTACAAAAACAATTTGAACTAAATTAGAAATCAGTTTGGTTGCTATTTTGGTTTAGTTGCATTTATAAATGTCTTAATTAAATTTAGTACTCAAAGCATACAGCTCTAATTTCTCTTGTTTCACTAAATAAAGACGTGCAAGGGTTTTCTTGTGTAGCAGGTGTTTTGCTAATTGATTTGCAATCGCTGCACGCTGCTCAGTGTTAGTTTGTTCATTTGATGCATTAGCAATCAGCACTCACTAAAGCAAAGTTTAATAAAAGAGGAACGAGCAATAGTTATATCGGTCAAGCTTCAGCTAATGATGTGTGACACTGGCGCCCAAAGTGGTTTTATATCACTGTATTAATACTGCGGCTCGCCTGTGGCACAGATCTATACTAGACCTGGTTTCAGAGAAAATCCTCCATCAGCAAAATGCAAAAATCTAACTCAGAAGAGCTGCTGTATTACAGGTCAAGGACTCGCAGTTCACCTCTGGATTCCTGCAGCTGAGCTGTTTCAGAGCAGGAATATCAGCATGAGTCTCATGCCTCAGTGTTTGCACATCTCCTGCACATCTCCTCAATAATCAATATAGTCGTATATGACATTTGTGTCGCCTATTCAGTTTAATCTTGAGCCGGTTAGCTAATATGCAGAACGCATTAGCAATGACCTTAGTAACAAACCAGAACTCTCTATTAACCACACAGCAACACTTGTTAACAGCCCAGAACACCCTAGCAACTGCATAGCAACACCAGGGCATCATGGCTACCCGGTATTGTACAGCCAAACTCCTGTATATATATATATATATTTGGAAATATACATTTTTTAATGTTTATTTATTTACTTATTAATTTATTTGTATTTATTTACCTTTTTATTTATTATTATTATTATTATTTTTACTAATAACATTTTATTTTTATATTTGGAAATATAAAAATTGTATATGTTTATTTATTTCATTTTATTTATTCTTTATTTGATAGTATATATATTTTTTTATATGGTAATATTTTTATACGTTTAAATATCGATTAATTGTTTGATTGATTGATTGATTGATTGATTGATTGATTGTAAAAAATGTTTATATGTTTAACTATTTATTTGTATTTATTCATATTTTTTTTTACTAATAACATTTAATCTGTATATTTGGAAATATTAATTTTTATATGTTTATACTTATTTACTTATTTAATTTCATATATATATATATATATATATATATATATATATATATACATTTTATTTTACTTTCATGTTTAATACTGTGAAGCTGCTTTAAACAATCTCTGTTGTATAAAGTGCTATAAAAAATAAAGCTGACTTGACTATATGTTTATTGATTCATTTACTTGTTCACTTTTTATTTCTGATATTTTTTTTTCTACATTTGGTCAGTTTTATTTTTATTTATCTTCTTTCTTTAGCTGCTAATTTGGTTTAACTGTATTTAAAAATGTCTTAATTAAATTTAGTAATCAAAAAGATTGTTCCAGTTATAGATTTTTTTCCACTAAATAAACTCGGCAGCTGCTCGGTGAACATGTTCAGCTAGATGGCATTAAACTCTGTGTGTGTGTGTGTGTGACATGAAACGATATCTGAACTTGAGGTGAAAGTCTCTGCTCTGTACTGTCCGTCTGTTCAGGGTATAATTAACCAAACAAAGCTTATTGATTCTGCTTGTAGCTGAAATGGTTTGTGCGCTGAGGTTGGCGAATCGTTTTGTTGGCTATAAATAATAACCGAAAGGAAAGCATGCATTGGATGCTGGAAAGCCTCAGTTGTATATTTCTGTCAGGTTTAGGAGGGTTGCTGAGGTTTAGGGCGGTATCTGTCTTTATACGGATCCCCACATATGTCATCTCACGCTGTATTGATGCTGGATGTGCTTTTATATCGTCTGAAGGCGGGCGTGGGCGACAAACGGTCATAAAACACAAGGTCCTGCGAGGAACAACAGATTGTTTTGAGGCAGAAGCTCTAAATGAAAGCAGCTTTGACACTCGTTACAGGAACAGTTTCAGTCTGTGTCTGAATTCGTTTGCTGTGGTTTGTATGTGTCGCTGTGTGTGTTTGAGGTCAATATTCAGAGCGTTCAGAGTGAAGAAAGTCTCAATGAAGGAGAAAAACAGCCTTGATCAGACAGACATTGTGTTAGTTAATGTTCAATCTTAGTGATTATTTCATGTTCCTGCTTTTATAGTGAATGATTCATCAACTGCACTTCGAATATATTTTCCTGATCAAAGAGGATAATATTCTACTTACTGTATATGTTGAAATCAATAGTATTTATTGTGTTTGTTTGTAAAAAAAATTATTTATTCGTTTTTGTTTTATTACTAATAACTAATAATTGTAATTTTATATTTGATAATATTTATTTTTTATTATGCCTGTTTACCTATTTATTTACTTGTATGTTTATGGTTGTTTACTTTTATTCATTAACCATATAATATTTGATAATATTATTTTTTTAATTATGTTTCATTATTTACTTATTTATTTACTTGTATTTATTAACCATCATTTATTTTACATTTATTTATGACATTATTCTTAAGAAATATATTCATCAAAATGAATGTCTTTTTTTATATAATTTTTGTATTTTATGTATTTTTTTTGTAGTAAGTATAGTTTATCCAAAACTCAATATAGATAATAATAAACACACAGACACACAGACACACACACACACACACACACACACTCAATGCATACCCATTAATAACAGACCTGATTGAGCACAACTGTGCAGGAAAACCTGCTCTCAATTTAATTAAACTCTAATTAAGATTATTATTTTCAGCGCTGCAATTATTCTGATGGATCTGAAGAGTGTAATTCAGATGTCAGCACATCTTGTGTGTCATGAAGAGAAACCTGTGATTGTGTGTATGAGTTTCATCCACAAAGAACCAAAGCACAGTCTCAGGAATACGTGTGCAGAAGCTGGTTTTTGCTCATTGATTTTAAAACTGTTACAGTACATTAATTGTTTTTATATGCACAGGTTTATTGAGGTTTAATATTGTTTTCTATTATTGAAGGTTATAATATTCAGGTTTTAAAATGTGCATTTAGTATTTTGGTCACACTTCATGTTAAGCTCAGATTCTCGCTATCAACAAACCATTAACTACAACTTTTGCGTCAATAAAGTCCTGTGCTGCTTATTAATAGTTAGTAAGGTAGTTGTTAAGTTTAGGTATTAGGTAGGATTAAGTGCGTATGTAGAATATGGTTATGCAGAACATGCGCTTTATATGTACTAATAAACAGCCAATATGTCAATAATAGGCATGCTAATAAGAAACTAGTTAATAGTGAGAACTGGTCCCTATACTAAAGTGTTACCAGTATTTTTCTCTTCTCACTCAAAATGTTGGGAAAAAACACTTTACAATAAAGTCTTCTTTGTTAACATTAGTTAATGCATTATTTAACATAAACTAACAATGAGCATTACATTTTAAAGCATTTATTACATTTATAACATAATTTTTCATAATTTGTTCCAGAGTTATTTTAGTATTATTTATATACTATTATAGCTAATCTATACTAATCTAAGCTACACTACACTACACTACACTACACTACACTACACTATACTACACTATACTATACTATACTATACTATACTATACTATACTATACTACACTACAGTACACTACACTACACTACACTACACTATACTATACTATACTATACTACACTACACTACACTACACTATACTATACTATACTACACTATACTATACTAT